CCCCACCACTCAAACTCAATCAGCCCTAGACGGTAATGCGGCGACTTCGGCCTCTTTTGACACTATTGGCCATCTGACGAAGAGTAAAAAAATTGGGTCTTTGGTGTTTCAAATGCAGTTCATATGACCATCTATCTAAGGATTGCACGGTGGTTCATTTTTGTCGCATTTGCAACAACTACGAGCATATTTGTGTTTGCAGATCTTGTTATGTAATATGTACAGTTGTCCTTTTTTCTGTCATTGTACAAGGGTTCAAAGGAAAGGAATCAAGGTAATACTTCTGTCCAATATTATTTTTTGTTGAAAATAGTATATTTTAGTGCTGAAAACCTGAGATTTGAAAAAAAAGGCCAAATAATAGTCAACCGATAAAATCGATTAATCGTCTGATTTCCGATTAATCATTTAATACGCAGCCGATCGAGATATAACGATAAGTGATACCCTCAACGGTATATACTACCGATGTAGGGTCTCCGCGCGAGTAGCAATGTTTTTGGAATGACATTACCAGGCTTTTCCCTACTATTGAAACAGGTAGCACATCTGTACTTGAAAACAACAAGATTGGAGCAACATATACTAATAGTAGTAGAATTATAGTTTTTACTCATAAGTCACAACACACCGCTAATGTCAGCTGGATGGAAGACTCCAGCAAAAATAAAACTAGTGGTTGGACGGCCATCCATGCATCTCAACCACCATGAAGGCGTAAACTCTCCCTAGAGGGGAGAATATCTAGTGATACCAGACCTTAAATGCTCCCATGATACTATTTCAAAAAACTTAATTTTAAATGCTTCAAAAAATTGTGAGATAAATCATGAATGTTCATAAGGTATGTGTCAACAGCACCTAAAAATTTCAGCTTCAAATTCGAAATGCACATTGAGAACAAAAAAGACAAATCCAGATGTGAATAGGCTTTTGTCTTTGTGACACTATTCATGCTAGATTTTTCATTTTTGTTTCTTAATGTGTTTTTCAAATTTGGATTTGATTTTTTAAGGGGTTGTAGTCACATATGCTGTGAACATCCACAAAAAAAATCAGTATTTTTTGAAACATCTAAAATTGATTTTCCAAAATTGGTATCACGGGAGCATTTAGTGTGTGGTATACTCTCCCTAGAGTCAAATGAAGGGTGCAATGCTTTGTAATCTTGGAGTCCGCCAAGGTGCGCCCTCCCTCCAGCTGCCCTGCCAGCAAAGATGAGGCGTTGCACATTCGGGAAAGGGGCGTGGTTCCTCTCATAGATCTTCACCTTGACACTATCGACGGTGTCCGAGCTCCCAACCTGGAGAGTGATGGTCTTCCCAGTTATCCCCTTCACGAAGATCTGCATCATGTGTCCTCTCGGAATACATGGGAGGAGGACAAGGAGTATCGTGGACTCCATGCATATGTTGTGGTCTGCCAAGGTGCGGTTCCCGTTCTCTAGACGCTTGCCGGCGAAGAGGAGGCACTGCTGATCTACAGGAAAGCCCTCGAGGCGATAGATCTTGGCCTTCACGCCGTCGATAGTGTCTAGGCTGTTGAAGTCAAGGTCGATGGTGTTGCCCATCAGCGTCTCCATCACGTGGATCTGCATCTTCTCTTCAAGGTCAAGAGTGGAGTCCTCCTGGATGTTGTAATCGGCCAATCTACAGTTATCCTGTAGCTGCACCCCATTGAAGATGAGGCGATACCGCTTGTGGATGTTCTCCATGACGGAACACACGGTGTCTGATGGGTGAACCCAGACCCGGAACACTGTTCCGGTGGGGTTATTGACAAAGATGTTCATTGTTCTGGATGAGCAAAAACCGAACACTGGCAGTCGTTAGACACTTATATATTTAAGGCTATAGAGCAATGCAAAAAAACGTCAACGGTTCAAGCTCGTACGCAGTTAAGCAACAGGAGAAATCAAGTCACAAAGGTTGAGCAGTACGTATAAAGATAGTTTCTTCCCAAGAAAAGCTGATGCTGAACAGTTTATAACGTTGTCTTAAGATCTACTCTCTCTCCCTTCCAAAATAAGTGTCGCTGATTTAGTAAGACGGAGGGAGTAACTGATAATTAGATGAACAATTAACAAATTACATCAGACAACCATCCAATGTAATCCTAGAAAACACCGACATGAGATCCTCGCACTAGTAGCATAGAATATGGATACGCCCAAAACAACAATGAACAGCTCCGTACGTACCTTGAAGTGGATCGACCACACGTCGATGCTTGTTGCTTCCGCCGGTGAGAGAGCAGGCAGGGAGGGAGATCGCGATCCGGAGTAGTACGAGAGTTAGGGTTGGGGATAGAATATATAGATGGCGTTCTTTTTATAGGGTCCGGTCCAATCAATTAGGTTTTACAATACCATCGCACATATACACACCCTTAATTAATTTCTGTCACAAAATTGGAATATCATTTTTTTTCTTGCACGGATCCCACTCATTCTGGTCGATTTTTTTCATTGGTTTCCTGACCCCGGTTTTCCTTTGCTTTTTGTGTGATTCTTTTTCTGGATTCATGCTGCTTCTTTCGTCGGGGTTTTTCCCTTTCTGCTTGTTTTTTCTGTTTCTTTTGTTTTCCTATTTTTTAAACATTTTTTACAAAATACATTAATATTTTTTAAAAATAAATATATATATTTTAGAGAATTATGCATTTTTTCAAATCTCATGATTTATTGTAATTTTGTAAAAAAATAATTTCTGATTTTTGAAATTTCATAAACACCATAAATTCTATAAAATAATGCTTTTTTGTAAGGAGTTGCTGGCTTTTTAACCTTTTTTTTTTGGTGAATTCGGTTTTCTTTTGGAC